CCAGAGGTCACGGCACCATTGCCATTGCCGAGGAACTCGTCTGTCCACAATATTGAGTCTGCCGGGTTCGGAAGCCCATCGTCTAAGCTGGAGTCCCAATACGGAATTGCTATATTGACATCATATGTCCGTAAGGCCAACTCTAACCTAAATTTGACGATTACAAGATGGTTGCCTCAATGAATAAAAAGCAAAAGCGAAAACACTATAATTGAATAATGAAATTGTGAATGACAACGCAATAAGAAAACCAGTGAGATCCTTGTTAATCTTGAGGTTATTTTAAGAAAAATCCACTATCAGAAGGTCATTTTAAAGTGAGATAGGTAATTGGCGACGTTCAAGGTTTATTGAACAACTAGTGATCAGTTGAGCTTTACCTAAAAGTCTGCTTGATCACATAATGTAGTGTGTAGTGAATCGACAGAGTCAGAGATCTAGATAGAGCCAAAAAAGAAATGGCAGAAAATTAAGACACTGTGAAGATGAATCCATACCTGCAAGAAGATGAGGAGGATTTATTGGTTTAAGTGTACTTCGTAAGTTAACACAAACTTATACACTTACAAATCGATTATCAGAATTCCAAATGCGAACAAAATCAGTACAAACAAGAACAGAAGAAAAAAGTAGAGCGTCAGGTTAGAAGGGGAGGACCTGCACCAGCGATACGAAGAACTGTACAGATTTCTTAGCAGTGGTTGAAGTTTTCTGTTGTTGTCGATTACGTACTGAATGACGAAGAGTACCCCAGATTAGCAAAATCTTGTGTCCCTGTTGTGCATGCAAATGGTGTGAATCGATTTTTTTTGCCACATTGACAAAGCGGCATCCAGCAACGTTTCTTCGTAGAGGGTGGAGTTGCTGTCAGTAAGAATCTCCTTGCCAATTTTATATTGGCTCTATCTATAACAATGATGGCTTTTTGTTTTACCAGATCTTCGAGGTGTAATATGTTTTTACATGAGGGGAGTCCTAGTAAGTGTCGAAGGCGACCGTCTTCATTATGCATGAGACCCTTGAAGTAGGTTGATGCTACGCGTAGCAATAGTGGCAATAGACAATAGTGTGCAAAAAGCTGTAGCAGCGTTTGGTTCACTCCTAAGTGCTTCATCCTTCTGATAAATGAAAATGCTCTTATGAATTTTAGGATTGCATTGGTAACCTGCGTATCAAACCTCGGGTGCCTGTACAACGAGATAATTCACGTCAATAGCGTCTGTGAATTTTAGGTCTACGTTAGTGAATGACTGACATTTTGGTACGTCTAATAGATCACTGCTCGTCTTTGCAATGAAAAATGCAATAAACTGATTTTTCATTGTTGACTATTTGTCCTGCGTTGGTAACCCCCTCACAGACTGCCTGAACTTGAACGATATATAAATTATGATCGGAGGCTCACTAATGACTGCTCAGTAACTCTGAGGGTTACATTATCATTCGCATAGTTCAACTGCACCCATTTGTGTACAGTGCAAGCAGTATTGATAAAAGTACAGTTCCTTGAGCAGCACCAGGCTTGCAGCGTTGGACTCCCGAGCCTTAATGTCCATCGAGGACAAACTGCTTCAGTTGATTAAAATATGCGCTGAGAAAATAAACAACCTCGGGAGATTGCGTCTGTCGTCGCTGGAAGCTGAATCAAGTCGTTGTTGGCCACTCTGTCGCAGGCCCAGTTCAACTACAAGAAGACTGAGCGAACCATCGTCGAGTTTCTTGCGTTAAGGTAGTTAAAGTGGTAATCTCATAAGAAGTTGGCCTCCTGTGGCCGAAGGCGAATATATGACAGCAACAGCTGCTCTGGGCGTCTAGGTGTAACCGAGGAAACGGTGATCAGCCTCATCGCGTTGAGCCTCATCGAATTCTGCTATCTCGGCAGTGGAGCAGTCCGCAACTTTTCCCATGCTTAAGGACAGGCACCGTTGTAAAATAAAAATTTCTGTTGATGGCACTAGAACCGACCCAAGACAATAGGAGCAGCGAGTCACCGACGACCTGTTTCAGGTTTTAAATTCAATTATGCGGTTTCGCTGCTGTCCACTACGCTGGAAAACACCGGGTTTGGCATGGGTCCGCCTCTACTCGTGATACGTCATGAATTATTACGTTTTTTCAAGTAATATGTAAATCAAGAACCGCATGCTTGACTTAAATTTCCCGATGAAGCATGACAAAGAAACGCGTGACATATTTAATACTGGAATCAGAACTGAACCGAGATGACACACTTTAAAGCAGAACGAGCGCCAAACCAGGTGACCGGCCTGGTTTGGAGTGCTGCGTCACTTTCGTCATGTTCCATTATAGGAATGACGAGTTCCCGCGTTTACGTGCGCCGTCGCAAAAGGCTCATGATGATATATAGAAAGCTGCATAAGACGTAGGGAGGGGACGGTTAACTCATGAAAGTCAAGGCACAGTTTCATCGCTAAGAAAGGTCAATCGTGGCAGGAGCAATATTGGTACAGAAACCAGGACCTTAAGGAACAGCGTACAGGTCGAAACACCTTTTCCCGCGTATAATTTGGAATTATGCATTTGAACTCTAACCTAAATAGCATATAAACGAAAATTACGATTATATAACCGAACGAAAGCAGGCGGATTATATAAAACTTGAGAAGCTGTTTCACTGCCGTGTGCGAACTGCTCCGGTCTAGCGTATAGACTGCGGTACCGACATCATAAAGTTATAATGCAGAAACGTTGAGTCACAGACCGCCTCATGATGTTCAAATTCTTCAGACTTTATTTATAGAAGGTCATTTTTCAATATGTTGTTGTGGAAAATTTCCATGATGATCGCTTCTGTGCTGAGGGTCGAGATGACGGAATAAAAAAGTATCTTATGTCTCGCTGAAACCCAGTTCCATTGGGAAGAATTGAGAGAGAGATTAATCGAGTTTAATACACCTCGCAATATAAACTTTTCCACAAGCGCTACTGATGATTATGACGGATCAACGGCTTCTTCAGCAAAGGTAATTTTTGCGTATCTGCACTAGGGATTCTATTTACTACTGAACTTCAAGTCTGATGATATTTCATGAAATCACTTCCTGAAACTTTTGGGAGGATTGGATTAACAGACGTGATTTCTGCCTTCTGCAATACCGAGGGAAAATGGGCTGTCCATGTGACTCATCTAGAGACAACTAAAATACGTTGAAATTAGAACTAGGTTTTGCTGCAACACACATAAGTCATTGCGGTCATCCAAGAACACGCTGAGACAGTCCTATGGTTAAACTTCTTGACCAGCCGTTGAGGAAGATAACGGAGAGTAAAGGAGGAGCGTCGACTTGCCTTCATGACGCATCCTTAAAGAGATGTTAGCGATAAACTGCCGCCATTAGTAATAGTACTGCTGAGAGTAGCTACAGTAAAACAGCCAATGCGATTTTTATTAGGAGCAAGAAATGTACGAGTTCCTTCCTTGAAATTTTATTCCAGCTCGGTGTTCACGAATCGAACTGCAGAAAAGACACTTACTGTTTGAGCATCTCGCGATGAAAAGGGAGGAAAGCGGGACCAAAGTGAGATCCAGGGGCATACTTCGGCGAGTAGAACTTGACCAGCAGGTCGTACTTGCTGGTGCCATCGATTTGCTCGGCCTTCAGCTTGTTCAACGCGTCGTGGAAACTCTGGCGTTCTGTGTCGGACAACTGACGGTACTCTCGACGCAGTGTCGGTTCGGGTTGGTCGTCGATGAAGGAGGACCGACGAGTACGTTCGCCCCTCAAGCGTGTGAGGTGCAGCAACGAATTTGCATGATTTGTGCTGGAACTTTCGCAGCTGCCTCGCGGGCACAGACAGTCGTGCAGATCTGCACAGGTGCTGAGGTCGAACAGCCACTTCTTCTGCCTCTGCGTGAACAGGAGACGGTCGTCGTCAGAGGAACGTTTAGCCACCCGCAGAAACCAGTCGACATTCTTTTCGCAATAGGCGTCTATCTGTGTCGACGAGAACCGTCGGGAGAGCCGGCTGTTCCTCAGCGTCGCTTCTCTGCTGCAGAACCTAGTCTGAGAGAGAAAGCTTCCTCCAAGTTTCTGTGCCGTCGCGCAAAGCAAAAA